GTGAACCATAAAATTTAAACCTTAAATATAAATAGATCTGAATTCCTTATTACTAAAAAAATTCTAGCATATATATTTTTATGTTAAATAATAGAAAATAAATAACTATATATATTGGAGTGTTCCAAATGTTGACTGCATCAAAAGGTCTATGCATTGTGAGTGAGGTCACATAAACATGAATTGAGTGATGGTGTATAAAAATGATAGTTCATGTGTGTGGTGTATGTGAAGATGCATAACTCAAATCATAGGGAATGATTGCGTGAAAGTTTCATTGGAAAAGAGAGCAAAATATAGTGATTTTTTCATCTTCTTCATGGGTTTGTATAGTGTGGGTTCTATTATATGAAAGGTCTACTATATTACTTTAGCTATAGGCCACTTCCCTTCTTTTTCAATCCACCACTATTTGAATATCGATTCAGTGTTTTATTGATTTTTTTTTAATGAGACGTTGTGCTTAGAACATTGATTTTGATATATAAGGTGACATCTTTTGTTACATAGAGCATCACTAGTATATCATATTTTGGTTGTCCCATTATATTTTTATAATTATATTCATTTTCCTGCCATATTGTGTTAAAAAAAAATTATTTTGGTGCTAGTAACTCATTCCTAAACGTGAGTTTGCAGACCAATATTGTGTAGACTATAGAGGAAGAGACACTGATATATAGAAGAAAAATAAAAATGAAATCAACTCGGTATATATCTCTTCTTGATAGATCATTTATATTAGTATATATATACTGATCATCATCATATTCATACCATAATTAACTATAGTTAATTTGGTAACGGGTCCATTATTTGATTGAAATATTATAATCTTTTGGGTAACGGATCAATTATTTTGATTGAAAACGATCCTCTTCTTCAAGATCAAACGCGATGTTGTCGTCATACGACGTAGTGAAAAAATGTATATTTGTGGAACGTCTTTCATAAGCTCAATTGTTAAGGTCATGGCGAGTGATATCTAAAAACTTTAATCCCACTCATAATTATTAAATTATAAATTATATGATCAAAACAATGTATGCATGAGCAGCCTATCAAACTTGGAGCCTTCGTTTCTATCCATGCCTGACTTTACACCTCTATCATGCCCATGCATGGGTCCCTTTCTCCACCTCTTTTGCTCTCTCTTTTTAACACAATAGGAACAAGAGAGAGTGAGAAAGAGATGTGAGATTGAAGCAAAGCAAGAAGAACACAATTGTGACAAAAATAGGGCTTTTTCTATTTGACTTTGTTTTTCTTCATTTTCATTTCATTCCAAAGAGTGGAATAAAAAGACACTTGTGCTTTTCCCTTCCATTGAGTACGTGATCTCAATATCATTGCTGCATCGATTTCCCATTTATGGAGTAAACCTATGTTTTGTTTTTGTATTTATATATACGGAGAAAAAGCAAATCCTAAGTAATTTATAATAAAGTTTGATTAGGTCTTATCATGGATGCTTTCTTTTGGTATTTATTAGTAGTTTTCTAGACTACATAATCAGAGTTTCAACTGAAAAAGTTTGGAGACTACATAGTCTTAAATCATTTTTGAAATTTTCAAATCCATGTAAAATTTGTAGTAATTAATTATAGAGAAGACATGTTCAACGAGAACTGATCTCTGATTTCGATCTAATTACTATAACCAACCATTGTATACTTTGCAACTTAGTAAGATTCATGAGATTGTGTTGGTGATACTATGTAGTATGTAGAGTGATTGAACTTCATGAATCATGATGGTACGATCACCCTGACTTTCATATATATATATGCACTCAATGTTATCTGTTAACAATATATGTAAATTTTGGCCAGTCCATAAGTATAATCGCAGGGCTGTGAAATAAGTTTCAATCCAATGAATTGATCATAATAATAGTTGATTAGTTGAATCCAAGTTAGACATCAGACTGCACTCATTGTGCATAGCTTAACTTAATATATATATATCATCTTTCGAAGTTTTTGGTTCGAACCTAGGTGCCAGGAAATTAGGTTTAAAATGGTGGTATATCGCGTTAGGATCGAACGTCCAAGTAGGCAAATACTTGAGAAATGAAACTAATAAACATGAAACTTTAAAACACCTAATTCACATATGAAACGAGATAAAAGCGTGGATCTATTCGTACATTTGTATCTATATCACATTATGTGGAGTTCCAAAAAGAAGTATACCAATGGCGGAAAATGACACCAACAAGAAGAAAGAAAAAAGAAAAAAAGCATTGTAAATTTGGGAAATCAAGCAATGTAGTGTGTGACATGGGAACAAGAGTAAGTGGACTTGGCCCAGTGGGGTACTCTCTTGCTCCATGCCTCTTGCTAAAAATAAAAAGTTGGCACACAAATAAAAATATATAATTGATAAAGCCAATTATTATTTTGTAAAGATAGATATTGTCAAATTAAAAGGTTTGACATTTTTTTTTCTCCAGCAACCAAACTATTCACTCTATTTGTAGTTTTTTCCCTTATTATGAAAGCATCCAAAGCGTTTTAGAAAAGAGCATTGCATAATGTATAATGTGTTATGGGTGAACAGTCAAAATGCAAATTGCTAAATAATTTTAGACCTAGGCTTTATATTTGAGAGAGTAAATGCTGTGTTTTATTAATGCATTAGTGGTAGATTAATCATGAGTTGAGACTTGAGAGCATGTATCTCCACCACAAGAATTCGGTAAGTCCATTTTTTATTTTAAACAACATTTGAAATGTCATAATAACAAGAATGTGTTAATCTATTAGTCATACAGATTTTGACTGGTAAACTGGTAACACGATAAAAAATGAACAAAAAGATTCTACTTTCACAATCTTTTACTTGTCAAATAATTTTTAAAACAATCCCAACATTTTTTTCTACAAGTTCTTTTTTCATTTTCTTTGATTATGCAAGGATATTAACAAATGAAGGATGTGACTAAACCTTCACAAATGGTGTACATGCAGGAGTTAATGCCTCGTGATGGGAAAACAAAACTCAAAACTCAAAACTCAAAAGAAAATTGTTTTGAGTGGCGCGAGAAGAAACCTCGTAATATTGTGTAGTTAATAATTTTTTTTTTTTGTTAAAAGTGTAGTTAATAATGTTAAGTGGTGTTTTATGAAAAGAATAGAGAACTTGAAAAGAATTTATTTTGCGTGTATTCGATGGAGAAAAGTATTAGTAGTTGTAGCCTTTATTGAAATAAAAATGGTTAATTGGGTGTAGAAGAAAGGAGGGTATAGGGAGCTACGTGTGGTGGTGGTATCTGCCATGTAGAAAATCGAAGCGCATGCACAAAGTTGGACTCATGATGAGACTTCACATGACCTCCTTCATTTATTCCTCCTCCCTCCTCTCTCTCTCTCTCTATGTATTAGTATTAAATTACGTATAAATACAAAATTTACGTATAAATACAAATTGTCCTACCGTATAGACACGTAGACCGTATTTATAAGAAGTTAGCCGTTTGTCCGAACACTGATTTTGTACAACTCTTACAGGACCTAAAACAGACTGTACTGACCAATGCCAAACTTGTCTGTCTTCTCCTTTTTATTTCTTGACACAAAATTGAATCGAAAATCTTCCCAAATATTCATAATTTGACCATAGAAACCAAAAAAATTAATAAACAAAACCCCTATGAAACTAACTAAGCCTAGCCAAAATTCATAAAAGAAAGTTTAAACACACAAAAGTCTTAATTTAAGGCATTTTTGACAGAACTAAAATAACTTTTTTATTTTTGAAAAATAAAGTCCTTTTCACGCGCTCGGTGACATTCCCACACCATTTTCCTCATGCATGCAACATTTAATCATCATCATTATCAATTTATCATCAACCTGATGCATACAAAGATGTACGGTACATACACACATGATGATATATTGTACATGCAACATACATCAGCATCACCATCATGATGAACATCAGAAAGAGGAAAGAGAAAGAAACTAATGTTATGTCCTTCTCACAGAGCTAAAGACAACAGCTTTTTTTTTCCCTAAGTTAGCAAAATACCCATTTCGTCAAATATCCGTTTCGTCTGACAACAATTTCTTCGAATAAAAACATAATAATATTAAAAAGAAAAGTAAAGAAAAAAACAAAGATTGGCCTGTCTTCTCTGCCTCCATATTAAGTTAGTTATTTTATATATATATTTTTATCATTACTGTTGTGGGTAGAGTAAAAAAAACAGATGGGTTTTGCAGAGACTGTTTTGCGTGTGTTGGCTTTTCTCCTTTATTGTCTTTCCCTTTTTTATCCTGCACCTTATTTAATTATTTCTTATTTATTTATTTTATTGCTACAAATACTAAAATAATTTTCTATTTTTTGGCATCACAAGAATAATTATTTTAAAACCAAAAGAAACTTATGTAGTAATTAGTACACAATATAATTCAATTGCATAGCTTTAATAAGTAAAATATTTTATTTGAAAACATTAAGTAAAATATGAACATAAAGCATATATTTCTATGAGATTTGCAGTGAAATATTAATTCATTGTAGCTAAAAAGCCTAAAAATAAAAGCTTTTATCAAATTCAACCCACCTGGCGTTTCAATTTTCAATTTTGTTTTTTTTCTTCCTTTATGCTGTTTTTATGTTCTTGCAAGTCTTCTCGCGCCACACAAAAAAGAAAGAAAAGTAATTTCTTTTACGGTTTTTATTTTTTTGTTGGACCATGTCTTAAAAGGATCTCGAGATTGGCGTCTGAGATAAAGACCTCAACTTTGCTTCCTTTTCTTGCTCCTCTTATCTTCTTCTCCTTCCTTCCTCTCTCTCGCCATTGCCTCTCGCGTTTTCTGTCTTCAGCTAAAGAAAGAACAAATAACCGAAAAGAACCACAAAAAATTTTAAAACTTTATTATATTTTCTTTCCCCAAAACTCCTTTTTTTCTCACCATTATCTCATGAACGTGAGTGGAGGCTCTCTCTACTCAGAGAGCCTACCCTTGAAAAGAACCCAGCAACTACTACAATAATCTCAACAAAACCTAGGATTTCTCGTTTACCCATTTCAAAGAATCGTCCTTTTTTCTATTTCTGACTTTGAGCTATGATGATGGTCCATTCCATGAACAGAGAGTCGCCGGATAAAGGGTTGGATTCCGGCAAGTATGTGAGGTACACGCCGGAGCAAGTGGAAGCTCTCGAGAGAGTTTACACTGAGTGTCCTAAGCCCAGCTCTTTGAGAAGACAACAACTCATACGTGAATGTCCGATTCTCTCCAACATCGAGCCTAAGCAGATCAAAGTTTGGTTCCAGAACCGCAGGTGAAATTCATCTTCTTTGTCAAAATTTGTTATTAATTGTTTTTCTTACCAGAAGATTATCTTTTTGTTTGTATATGAGTATATGAAGACGTTAAATGTGTTTTTTTTCTTTCATTGGTCAGTAATATTTTAATTTCCTGCTGTTCTTATCTGACAATCTTTTTTTTTGGATCTCAGTGATAATGAAGTTCTGAATTTTAATGTAGATTCATTGTCTTCTAAATCTCTCAAAGCATGAAACTTTGTTTACCATATACGCTTTGACATATCTAGTTGAAGAAAATCTAAATTCAAGAAAGTGACATCTAATCAAATTGTCTTTGAATGCGTTTTGCAACATTTATTTCTGTCAAAAGCCTAAGATTTTCTGCCAGAAATTATGATATGTTAAAAGGGAATAAATTTATATTATCTTTTCTTCTTATATCATTGGATGTGTTTTATAAAGCCAAATGGTGTCTTTCTCTGTTCATCCACTAGCATTTATTTACATCATACATGCATATTTGGCTTTTATGTTGGTTTATTGAAGCTTTCTTTTGATTTTGTTGATTCTTAGATGTCGAGAGAAGCAGAGGAAAGAAGCTGCTCGCCTTCAAACAGTGAACAGAAAGCTCAATGCCATGAACAAACTCTTGATGGAAGAGAATGATCGTTTGCAGAAGCAAGTTTCTCACTTGGTCTATGAGAATGGCCACATGAAACAGCAACTTCACACTGTAAAGTCTTCACTTTTCACTTTTTTTTTTGGTATATAAAACTCAAATGCTATGAAGCATTTTGATTGAAAGTTGTTACCTTTTTTTGGAATGCAGTCTTCTGGGACGACCACAGACAACAGCTGTGAGTCTGTGGTCGTGAGTGGTCAGCAACATCAACAGCAAAACCCAAATCCTCAGCATCTGCAACGTGATGCTAACAACCCAGCTGGGTGAGCTTTTCTTGTCTGCTCTATATCTCTCTCAGTTTGTTGATTTTTATTTGCCACTTTATGACAATTTAAATGGTGTTTTTTTAGACTCCTTTCAATAGCAGAGGAGGCCCTAGCAGAGTTCCTTTCCAAGGCTACAGGAACTGCTGTTGACTGGGTTCAGATGATTGGGATGAAGGTAAAACTATTTTAATTTGTATTATTTGATTTCTGTTCTTTTGTTGTGTCTGAAGATGAAGTTATGTTTTTGATTATTTGATGAACCTTCTTTTGCTGTTGTAGCCTGGTCCGGATTCTATTGGCATCGTCGCTATTTCGCGCAACTGCAGCGGAATTGCAGCACGTGCCTGCGGCCTCGTGAGTTTAGAACCCATGAAGGTAATGAGTTTGATTTGTTACATTCTTCTATAACTTGTGTTTGTTATCAGGAGAAATATATAGAGTTACACCAATCTTGATTTGAAAAACAAATATAGGTTGCTGAAATCCTCAAAGATCGTCCATCTTGGCTCCGTGATTGTCGATGTGTGGACACTCTGAGTGTGATACCTGCTGGAAATGGTGGGACTATTGAGCTTATTTACACGCAGATGTATGCTCCAACGACTCTAGCAGCAGCTCGTGACTTTTGGACGCTAAGATATAGTACATGTTTGGAAGATGGAAGCTATGTGGTGAGTTCTTGGATCTGCTTCTCTGTTATGTGGTTTCTGTTTAAAAACTACTTCATGTTGTCTTAACTCACACTGTCTTCAGGTTTGTGAGAGGTCACTTACTTCTGCAACTGGTGGCCCCACTGGGCCACCTTCTTCAAGCTTTGTGAGAGCTGAAATGCGACCAAGCGGGTTTCTTATCCGTCCTTGCGAGGGTGGTGGTTCCATTCTCCACATTGTTGATCATGTTGATCTGGATGTAAGTGACAACTCAAATTGGTTCAAAACGCATCAGTTCCCTCTTTAATATATGTTCATGACTTTGTTTTTTCGGTTTGCAAGGCCTGGAGTGTCCCTGAAGTCATGAGGCCTCTCTATGAATCATCGAAGATTCTTGCTCAGAAAATGACTGTTGCTGTAAGTTCAAACCTTTTTCCCAATCGTATTTGACCCAAACAACTTGGTATGCGGCTTTGTTCCTTATGTTCGGATTTTTATTTCAGGCTCTGAGACATGTAAGACAAATTGCACAAGAAACAAGTGGAGAAGTTCAGTATGGTGGAGGGCGCCAACCTGCGGTTTTAAGAACCTTCAGTCAAAGACTCTGTCGGTAAGTATCTGCTTAATTTAATAGTTTTGTCGTCAAGAGTTTCTTTTATTCTTATTCTAACTGTTCAAATGGATGAACTTCAGGGGTTTCAATGATGCTGTTAATGGTTTTGTGGATGATGGATGGTCACCAATGGGTAGCGATGGTGCAGAGGATATTACTGTTATGATAAACTTGTCCCCGGGGAAGTTTGGTGGGTCTCAGTACGGTAATTCATTCCTTCCGAGCTTTGGTAGTGGCGTGCTTTGTGCCAAGGCATCTATGTTGCTTCAGGTACATGTCTTAAGGATTGGATAATGGAAAAACTTATCTTCTGTTTCAGTCTATTTCTAACTAACTTGCATCTCTTTTTTACATAAAGAACGTTCCACCCGCTGTGCTGGTGCGATTCCTTAGAGAACACCGCTCTGAATGGGCTGATTACGGTGTGGATGCTTATGCTGCTGCATCGCTCAGAGCAAGTCCTTTTGCTGTTCCTTGCGCTAGAGCTGGTGGTTTCCCGAGTAACCAAGTCATTCTTCCCCTTGCGCAGACAGTTGAACATGAAGAGGTACTATTTCCAAAGAACAATACAGCTTCACCTTCTCCTCTCTCTCTAAATACGTTTTATAGTCCTGAAACCTTTCCTGGTTTACTTGTTTCAGTCTCTTGAGGTGGTTAGACTTGAAGGTCACGCTTACTCACCCGAAGACATGGGTTTAGCTCGGGATATGTATCTGCTACAGGTTTGACTTCATAATTTAATCTAGAAAGTTTCTCGGTTCCTCAGTTCTCTTCATGACATTTTGGATCCTTGATTCTTGTCCAGCTTTGTAGCGGTGTTGATGAAAATGTGGTTGGAGGTTGTGCACAGCTTGTCTTTGCGCCTATCGATGAATCATTTGCTGATGATGCACCTTTGCTTCCTTCTGGTTTCCGCATCATACCTCTCGAACAGAAATCAACTCCGGTAATTTGTCAAAAAGCCATTTAAGGATCAATTCCAAATCACATATTGTTGATGCAATATTCTAATCTTTCACTGTCATATAGAACGGTGCATCTGCAAACCGTACCCTGGATTTAGCCTCAGCTTTAGAAGGATCCACACGTCAGGCAGGTGAAGCCGACCCAAATGGCTGTAACTTTAGGTCGGTACTAACCATAGCATTCCAGTTCACATTTGATAACCATTCAAGAGACAGTGTTGCTTCAATGGCACGTCAGTATGTTAGAAGCATTGTAGGATCGATTCAGAGGGTTGCTCTAGCCATTGCTCCTCGTCCTGGCTCCAATATCAGTCCAATCTCTGTTCCCACTTCCCCTGAAGCTCTCACTCTGGTCCGTTGGATCTCCCGGAGTTACAGGTACTTATTAAGATTTTGTTTCTGTTAACATGATCTATAGAGTAATTATCTGAAATTCTCTTCTTTTCTTTTTGGCTTTGTAGCCTTCACACTGGTGCAGATCTCTTTGGATCTGATTGTCAAACCAGTGGTGACACATTGCTGCATCAACTCTGGAATCACACTGATGCAATCTTGTGCTGCTCCCTCAAAACAAACGTAAGTGACTAGGGCTTCACATTCAGATTTCTCATTTCTGACTAGTATTTGTTTTGCATTTTTTTAAATGACTGACATATATTCACATTCTCAGGCTTCACCGGTTTTCACATTCGCAAACCAAACCGGTTTAGACATGCTGGAAACAACTCTTGTAGCCCTTCAAGACATAATGCTAGACAAGACCCTTGACGAACCTGGTCGTAAAGCTCTTTGCTCTGAGTTCCCCAAGATCATGCAACAGGTTTTTGTTTTTTCTTGGGAAACTTTTTGACATTCTCTTGGAAAAATCATGGTTTGACTTGGAATCTTGATTTTGTTTTACAGGGCTATGCTCATCTTCCTGCGGGAGTATGTGCGTCAAGCATGGGGAGGATGGTGTCTTACGAGCAGGCAACGGTGTGGAAAGTTCTTGAAGATGATGAATCAAACCACTGCTTAGCTTTCATGTTCGTGAATTGGTCGTTCGTTTGAAGAATAAGAAGAAGACCATATCACTCCATTTTTCCCTTGGGAGGGAGGTTATTTATGTAAGATATTAAAGTTAGGTTGCCACTATGCTCCAAAGTATTTTGAAATTCGAGGACCAACATGTAATATGACTAATGTATGATCCTTTATGGATTGTTCCTATGATATGGCATGATATTATTATGATAATGTTATCAAGTCTTTTTTGTTGTGCTCGTTTGCTTTCACAAGGTTATATATTACGATTGTAGAAATTAAGCTCTTTATTGAAGTCTCATAATTTGAAGAAAAAAAAGAAGGTAGATTAAGCTTTGGATCATCTAACAGGAACATTTTAGAAGTAACGTTGAGTATATCTATATGCACATCTTATTATAGTATCCTTTCATTTTTTGGTGAATAATATTTGTCTTTAGAAATAAAAGTAAGTGGGGAAAATGATTTTTCATGTATATAATTAAAGTAAGAAAGGTAGATGAATGAGATAGGTTGTGTAATTTTGGAGTATATATATATATATATATCATAATTATAATAAAGAGAATTATATGTATTATTGATAAGATATTATGTTAGATTTGTGTATTATTGTTTTGTATAATGGAGGGTGGTCCAATTTGAATATAGGTTCTAGTTGTGGAAGCTGTTAATAGCACTGCAAACAAATTTAAAGATTAGATTTGCATGAATCTTCACAATAAATGAATATATCGTACACTAAAAGAAAAATAAAACGTATACTGAAATCGTATCTATCATAAGAAAAGTAAATGATGATGATGCCTCCCACTCTTTAACTTATAGGCAGAGAAACCTATAAACGTTTTTCCTCTGTAGTTGTCTATTTTAATGAAAAGTTTAAATGTTTTTGTATTCTCCTGAGAAAGTCACCGTTTTGGTAAAAGACCGTAGCAGAAAAAATGGTAAAAAGGGAGTATTAGAGAAACGGTGGATGTGACCATTTTGGTTAAACGGCGCAATAACAACTCATAATTGAGGGAAATAAGTTTATCATCAACTTGTTGATATAAGCCTCTCCTTTATCAAAGATGAAGAAATGCATATGGAAATAAATTATATTGCTTTAATAATATATACTATTGTTGTGTGCTATAAATCTAATCATAATTTTGTTTCTTCTCATATAGATTATAGATATACGTGTATTAATCGGGAACAATACATTTTCTCTTTTGAAGGCACCACTAAGTTTCTGAAATTTGCAAAAACCACCGAAGAAGGTATATTACATATGGCAACGTCAACTTTGAAGCCTCTTCCCGCTATCACCAGAAGAAAAATTTAAGGCCAAATCAATGTCTCTTGCCTCTTGGCTTGCACATCTCATTGACACTAGTTTTGGTGTTTTATTATGAATGAGAAATAGTATGTTATTAAAATAGTTGTTTTTAGTTAGTGAATGACTTGAATACAGTAAAACCTCTATAAATTAATACTCTATAAATTAATAACCTCTCTAAATTAATAAATTCTTCCGGTCCCGAGTTGGGACCAATGTAAAATATAACATAAATCGATAAATTAATAAGATAATAATTTTTTTGAAAATCCCATGTAAATATATGGTCCCATCTATATCATAAATTAATAATTGTATAAACTTATCAATACATATATGTATATTTAACATAATATATATGATATAAATTTATATATTTCATATATGAATTACTATGATATATATTTAAAATATTATATGTAAGATATTTAATGAAATATGACTCTCTTATTCGAAAAAAGTTTGTGTTGATTTTTAAACTTAATAATTACTTCTGTACTTGTAATTGGTTTAAAAAATATATTGCTTATAAAGAAAAAATTTATTTTTAGATATAAATTTTTTTAAAAATTACAAAATTAGTAAAATTTCTCTATAAATTAATAATTATTAATTTATCGATAAAATAATACCTCTCTAAATTAATAAATTTTCATGGTCCCAACATTATTAATTTATAGAGGTTTTACTGTAGTTGTTTATCTATACAGATTATTTAACATATATCATGTACTATTGATTTGGTGATATTGTAGAGTTAGATATAATAAAAATTTAAATTCAATCAAGTAATATACAAACAAAACAAATAAACTGTTGTAAAAAAAGGAGCATAAATCTAAGGCTTTGACTGAAAAAACATAGTTAGAGTAAACAGAATTGAATGAAATTTTGTAATGTCTTTATCCTTCATTTTTACCCTAAATGGTTGAAAAATTTCAGCTGAAAATTGTCAAGTAATTAAAAATTTACTCTAATTACTGTAGTTTTTTTTCCTCCCTTTTTCTTTCTTTTTCCCTAGAAATATTACTCTAAAAACCACCGATCACCCCTCAAAATTTATTATTATCATGTAAGAAACGGCTATTAATAGTTAGTTATTTATCAATTATCACTTATCTATCACTTATGAAAACTATGCTTTGGCCTTTGGTTAGTGCTTTAAATATGGCCTTTACTGAGACATTCTCATTTCTCTCTCTTTCTCACTAACAAAGAACAAAAATGGTTTTGGTAATAAAAGCTCTCAAATATCTCTTACTCCTTTCTATCTCCTTGACTTTCATCTACACCAATGAAGTGTCATCCGCTTCTCCGGTGACGACTCCACCGTCTTCGCCGGTGAAGATGAGCCGGAGACTTGTGGCAGTTGAAGGCATGGTTTATTGCAAGTCTTGCAAGTATTCCGGCGTCGATACTCTCTTGGAAGCATCTCCTCTTCAAGGTCCTTTACACTCCGATCTCTTTCAAATTTTTAATTACAGTGTAGTCTCCTAGATCTATAACATCATAAATTTACCGCAAAAACTTTTGCCGAACTTGTCTTTGTTTTTTTTGATACAATGTTGTTGCATGTTTATAGAAGATTAATTCCATAGAAATTCTTGAATTAATTTACGTGTTTAAACAAAAAGCATGTATGCATGCATTTAAGGTCTCGCAGCATATATATATATATATATCCATTTGATGTCTGCAAAATCTGAGTATTATTTAGTTTTTTGTCACCCAAAAATAATCTGAATTTAGGTTCAAGTCTCGTTTAGCTAACAATGCATGTTAGACTGATTTCTGAATGAAAGAACTTGAATTAACGATTTTAATCCATCAAATCAATGTGACTAAATGTTTTCCAAAGCACTATGCTTAAGGTAAATTCCACTTCTAATAAAATAGGTTGGTAGTATTTGTATTTTTAGAATGTTGCATGCATGTTCTCTTCTTTTCAAACAAAATATTAGAAAAAAATGTATTTTCAGAATTGACACATTCGTCGAGTCTCTCACGCCACTTGGCTTTCATGCATCAAGTTATATTTTGGTTATTTTTCAATGATAGGAGCGACGGTAAAGCTTGCATGCAACAACACAAAGAGAGGTGTGACAATGGAGACAAAAACAGACAAAAACGGATACTTTTTCATGTTAGCCCCCAAAAAACTCACGACCTACGCTTTCCACACGTGCCGGGCTTGGCCCACGAATCCCGGACCCACGACTGCAACGATGACATGCACCGTCCCGTCAAAGCTCAACAATGGAATCACTGGTGCTATGCTTAAGCCTTCTAAAACAATCAACATCGGTGAACACGACTACGTTCTCTTCTCTGTTGGTCCCTTCGCGTTTGAGCCTGCCTGTACTCGTTGAAGACTAGAATTTCGTTTTATGTATTTGTGTGTGGTTGATTGTTATAATGATGATCACTATCTAGTGTTTTTAATGATGTGTCTTGTTTGTTTTCTTGGTACGTTTCTATTTAAAATTTGTGTGTGTTGACATTTTAAGATCGTTACTGTGTTTGTAGTAATTAGTATTATTTGTGGGGTTTATGTTTTGTATTAAATCTTTCTGTGTGTGAATTTCTTATGTATTACTAAGATCTAACATAGAATTGAATATGTATTACCTTATTTGTTAGTGAAGCTCGAAAAACAGAAACAAAAAAGAGTCAACCAATTTTCGTTATTAACCCGGGAAACTGGTTTATACCGGTTAAATATGATTTCTATTTGTATTTGCATAGTCTCTGTAATGCTTTTGTTTCGGTTCTATATATATAGAAGTAATATGTATGTAACAAGATTGCAATGTATAACAAAATCATAGATAGATCAATTAAATGTATAACAATATCAATAAATAAACCAAAGCTTAATTATTAAACGGCGGAATAAAGATAAAAATTGCAGAGTTGCATCATTATCGACTGCTATGGCTTTAGGTTACTAATCTAAAACTTAATTCATCATAAAAAACAATAAGTAAAGAAAAGTTGATCACGCAGTAGTATCAGTAGTAGCAGACTCTCCCTCGCCGCCACAACATTTGACACATCGTTTGGCGCAATAGAAACTCGCCACAAGAGCCGAGACGATGATGACACAAACTAACAAGATGGTTATATTGTAACCAATATCCATTGTATTGCTCTTCGAATTCACTACACCAAAATTTCTTCTTTTTAACTTTGTGTCGTGCCTTCTTCTTTTTCTTCTCCGGTATAGAGTATGCTTATATACACGTCTTGTCAACACATATGTTTAACATTTTTGGAAAAAAATCGGGAAGATTTGTATATTTTACATTTTTTCACTAAGGAACATGGAAGTTTTACATTTTACGGTACTTTATTGATCCTCATGCCATCATATATGTACACATGTATTTAGTGAATCAAATCTATTAAACTATTTTAACAATTTATTCACAATCGTCATATTTAGGGCATCTTGCTTACATATGCATTTCCTTTTTACAAATATTTATTGTCACAAGAACTCCTTTTAAATTTAAGATTCCTATATTGTTTATTTCTGTATTTACCACTCTTTCCTTTTCAGTTTAAATGTCATATTATATCTATTATTTTAGTTAATTTCTTCTTCATAATGTAATTTTAATCTCCTTTTTAAGGTAGTGTATTTTTTATTGTCTTAATTAGAACATTCAATGAGGATGTAGTATTTCCCTCCCTTTTGTTTAATTTCTTCTAAATCATGTTTTTTTTTTATAATATCAATAGTTTCTTAATTTTAATGTCATAAAATATATTTTCTTACTTTTTCCGTTTCAGTTTATTTGTTGTACTTTAAGATTTTTTACAGAAATCTAAAAACACAATTAATTTTTTTATGAGAAACGGAGAGAAAATAGTTTATGATAAAAAAAATACTAAGAGGTGTTATTGTTTGAAAATACTCTATAATACTAATTCATATTGTTTGTCATTGAGCCTAAATCACACGTAGTTTTGAAGTACAACTAAAAAAATTTGAACCGTCAAAGAAAATACCTTGAAAACATAAATTTTCTGATTTTAACGGTTCAAAAGGTTATATAATGCCGAGTTTCAAACGGAGGCTATTTTGTCTGAAAAAGATTGTTAACTAGCCATAACTATAAGTCTTCAACAATCATACCGAGTCGCTTGGAGAGGGATATGTTATCAACTTATCAAGATACGTGATTACTGGTGCCCATGCATTTACATAGTTTGCATCTGAATCTTAGCCGCCGCCTCTGTAACAACGATTCATAATAAAAATATCATAAGCAAATTGCAGCCTTCAGACATATGAATAAGAAACCATCTTTTAGCTAATATAATAGAAATCTCAAACATTTTTATATTATACTCCCTCCGTAAAACATTAAAAAGTAAGAAATTTTGCATTGAAATTTGAAAACGACATCTAATTCAAAAAAATAAAAATTCTAAAACGACAATTATTAAAATACGGAGGGAGTATGAGTTTAGTCTCTTATGTAGCTAGGAGGAGTTATACATGTCAAATATTGCTCTGGCTAGTTTAAAAACCACAAAATCTGTCACAGAATGTTCACTGCATTACGAGGGTATCAACTAGCTAGTACATTCACTCACAAAAGCCAAGATGATGATGACCGACACTATCACGATGCTTCCCATGTATCCAAACTCCATCTTCTTAACCTCACCAAAATTTCTACTTCGTACAAATTGGTATATTATATTATATGTCCAACAAGACAGAATTTTAGACTGCGAATTTGATAATTTAACATTTTGTCACTAAGTAACAATAACTAGGAAAAATTGGAAATTTTACATTTTACGGTACAACCAATTCAACTACAAGAAGATGATAACCGACACAATCCGCGTGTACTACAGATATTTTACTTCAAATAATTTCTTCAAGCTTACGTAGTAATACATTAACACATTTGGAACTTGGAAGTGTGTTATAAAAACAAGAGATAAATCAATTTATTCATAATGTATTTCGTCGCTGTTGTTATGACACTACATGACTTGATGAGCACAGAGGTTATTCTTGTCTAAAGAGTGATAATAATAATAATAAGTCTTTTCAGGCTCTTCACCAATCAATACCGAGTTGCTTGGAGAGGAATAGATTATCAAGATATGTGATTAATGGTGCCGATGAATTGACATAGCTTTGCATATGTATCTTAGCCGCCGCCTCTGTAACAAGATTCAATGAAAAAAAACAATATCGTCAGCGAATTGCAGCCATCAGAACCTAATGAAGAAGAAACTCTATTTATGAAATCTCAAACAGAGATAGTATTGGAAAATTCAAAATCTATTATCCTACTGCCAAATGAACTTTAAAACCAATGTGAGTCTCAAAGAGTTCCTCTTATGATACGAGGAGTTATACAGGCCTAACTAATATTGATGAGTGATTTATCTAATCCCTTGATAACCTTGAAACTAAATCTGAATACTTAAACTACTAGTTTATCTGACACAGAATAAACAGTTCAAGAACTCACCATCCTCTTTGAGCATATTAAGTAGGTGAGCCCTTGTGGGAAGAGCGTACATCCCAAGAGAAACAGCTTTCCGTATAGCCCATCCATGGTGGGGAGCAAACACTTGAGCATAAGACTTAGTTGCTGGATCCTTCAAGGAGTTATCTCCTCTGCAAATGATATGAAACTAGATTTAATCTTCTAATCTTGACCAAATTAAAGAAGAAAACTACAACAAGACTACATTTTTCTTTTTACTTCAATGTCCATATTCAAATCACACAACTGGCTCGGGTGATCAAGTTTATACATTTTGAATGTGTTAACTAATGCATTGATCAAACATTTCACAAAAAATCACAAAAGAGAGAGAGTCTAGAAGAAGCACTTACTCGGAAGCTATGATCTGTTCAAAGAGAACCTTAACCATGTCAAGACCACGCTTAACCCTCAAAAGGTTTCTAGTATGACTACCAGCTTTCCTTACACAATCTGCCTCAATATCTTTGTCCATCATTACCACTAATGTCGATATCGAACTCGACGCCCTCACAAGATCATCAACCTATAATCACATTCACGAGTTAAACATCTCATTTTCCAAAACATTCATCCTCCAGATAAACAAAGACAACATCCATATATTTCATCAAATAAGCAAAATTCAGTCCAAGTACTACAGAAACTAAATCGATTCCAACATCTCAGGGGAACACAAGTACAAAAAGATTCGAACTTTGATTGAAATCTACTAGTCTACAACAAGCCAAAAACATACCTTGGCAACATAGTCCATTTCCGCAAACTTAAAAGCTATTCCAAGGCAACCAAAGAGAGGAGAGACCAGAGAGCAAGCGTGAGAGAATTGCGCTACAGGAACTTCCGGACTCGGTGAATTCACGATGACCGCTAGTTCTTTGAAAGCGGTTGAGATTTTTCTCAGTGGCTTATCTGCGTTCGAATCCGCCATTGAAGATCTCTCCTTCCTCTCTCTCTCTCTCTCTCTATCTATCGTCTTCTCCTCCTGATAACAATTTGTTGTGTGATTATTCCGATTGGTGTTTGTGATTTGCCGCGGAATCTACTTTGCTGCAAGAAGACGACTCAAAAGGCGATTCGCTGATCAGTTATTCTCTGTGTTTGGCGTTCGGATCATAGATATCCTTATTCTGGATAGTAATATCCTCACCGTGTGAATGATCAAAACGCTGCGTTGCAGTCAAATGTGGGCAATAAGAACCGAAATAACCGAATTAACCTGTCGGTATACCGAATAAATCGAATTGAATCTGAACCAAATTCGGTTTTGAAGAATTAAGATATGAAGCCTTTAATTGGGAAGAATTGTAGGGATACTTTAATTAAAGGGTAGATTCAACAAATGTGGTTTTTCGAAACTTTTATTTATGTTCCACTCTGGCTATTTTTTTTTTTTTTCGATTCTTTACATTAATAAAAAAAGGTACCAAAATTATAGGTAGGGGAAGATATTTAGTGGTATTAATTATTGGGTAGAAGGAATGGCGGATGCAATTATTTTGATTACTTATAAAGATAGTGACATTAATTGATTCTTAGGTGGAGCTTATTTTAAAATTAATCGAAGAATTTTATGAGTAATAATTTCGGAAAAAAGAAAAGAAAAAGGAATACTATGTTTCTTGACTTTTTGAGCCAAGCAAGCATGGGTGTTTTAAGAAGGAACCAATCGTTGGTTAAATAAAAACAATTTCATCAGTTTTCGAAAAACGTCCACTTGCCATTATTTACTCTGCCTTTACGGTTTCCGCCAATTTTAATTCTCTAATTTCAAACTTTTCTCTCTCTCTCTCATCTAATTTTCTCTTTTTATAATAGTCCTCTCTTTTCTTCTAGATAATTACTTTTCATTATAGTCCCTCTACTATTGTAATTATCCACAACTGTCTCCCAATTTTATCATCGTTTTATCATTTTCATACATAGTAAAATTAGAAATAAAAATTCACAACACCGAACCAGAGAACCCTAATTCAGTCCGGTGAGAAGTTTATAGTAGTATGCGTCTGGTTTTGTATGATAAATTTTAAATGAATTTGAAATGTAGGGTACTTGCATGAAACTTTTGGAAATTAAGAGGGTGAAAACATGAAATAAAACATAATATAGGGATGTATATTTTGGAGTTTTGTCAAACATACACACACTCTCTTCCGCTAGTTCCCTTACTTTTTTTTGTGTTCGTCTTTTACCATCTCTCTCTCTCTACAGCTATTTTCCCTCAATTTAATCGTCGTTTTCACTCTTTTTTCGATTCCATTCAAAAAGCTTCAACAAAAGTTAAATCAGTGAGGAGCGTTTTCATTCTCTGCTTCATCCAGATCTACATTTATCCGTTTCAGTCTATATTGCTCTGTTTCACAAGTTCCCGACGGCCGGAGTCGTCGCCGGGATTCTCGTCGAACGGTGAAAATGGGTTTTTGATTTTACTGGTTACTTCATTTGTTCAGTGCAGTAAGTATTTTTTCCCCTTTTTCTGTCTTACTATTGGTTTGTGCAAGTTCATTTTCTTAAATGTAGAAACTTTATTTTCCCCGAATTTCTTCCTTTCAAAAACTTTTTTTTTTTTTAAACATTGCTTTAAGTGGATTGGTTGTTCACAAAATGACCAAAAATATTGTAGAAGGTAACCGACAGAGTTAGCTGAAAGAAGCCAGAAACTCCGTTTGTCTGTGTTCTTGAATTTAGACAATCTACAAAAGTCCGTACTTTATTTATTAATAATCCTGTTATTGAGAGGATCCAATAAAGTAGAGTAATTGTAACATGCGCGTTCTATTACACTAACAATGTGCGTGGGCCACTTGGTCATTTGATTCTGTGTTCTACTTCGGAGAAATTTGGATACAACAAATAAAGTAGAGAAATTGTGTACAATGAATAAAGTTTCCTTTTTTTGTTAATGATTTAATCATGCGTCTCTTTTGATTTTCCAGGGTCTTCTTTTGTTTCTGCAATAAGTTTGGATTGATTTTTAAATGGAGGAAGTAGCAGCTAAGGTTGAGGAAGAAACTGTGGAAACCATTGTAGAGGACAATGCAGCTACAGCTAATGAAAGCAAAAGTCCAGAAAATGTTTCTGCGGTGTCAAGTCGAGCTGCTGCTACTAAGAAGAAACCAGTTATTAGTTCGAATTTAATTAAGCCAACAGCGTCTTCTTCTTTACGGGTCTCAGGTACTACACCTGTGACTATCAGGAGAAATAGTACTGGAGGAGTAACAGAGAAGTTAGTTGGTGCCTCTAAGGTTCTGCCTAAACAAATGAGTAGTACTACTGCCTCACGTACTGATCCGGTAAGGAGATCACTTCCAGAATTGAGGAAGAGCTCAGTGTCTTCTCTTTCTGCCAAGACTGTATCCAAACCAAGTCTTTCCGAGAGTAAAAAGTCTGTCCCTGTATCACCAGGGAGTCGGAGTTCGACAAAGTCACCTGGGTTTAGTTTAAGTAAGCCTGAGTCTTCTGCTAGACCAAGCATGAGTGCCTCTGTGTCTTCAAAAAGAGCTCCATCTTCATCGGTTGACAGTAGTGGCAGCAGGACCAGTAGTGGAAGACTACATTCTACTCTCAGTAGTGGGAGGATAGTTTCTAAAGTTTCTTCTCCATCTGCTGGATCATCACCTTCTGTTTCTAGCGGTATAAGATCAAAGTCATTGTCGACACCTCTAGACCGCAGTTCCAACTTCTCTGGACGGAAGAAAACAGCTACCCCTGAAAGCCGCGATTCACGACTCATTATTCTTCCAAAGGTGGAGGTTAAAGCTGGCGATGATATGGTAAGAACTCACTTTTCTCTTTGTACTTACTAGATTTCCATACAGTAGGTTTAAACCTTCCTTCCTTTGTGTGGTTGTTGATTAATGGATGTCTGTAATTGCTTAAGAGATTGGATCTTAGAGGCCACAGGATTCGCAGTCTAACCTCCGGTGGGCTACACTTGTCACCAAACTTAGAGGTAAACTTATATTTCCATGGTAACTTCACAGTAATCTAGTGCAACACTTTGTGACAATGATGTTTATGTAGATATGCCAATTGTGGATTTGAATAGAAGTAGGGAGGATTAATTATTTACATCCCACGAGGACAAACTTTGAATTTTCTTAGTGAGTTCCTGATATTAGTTTTAAAAATCTCCGAACGAACGAATACAATCTTTTGGACACTACATATGCTCGCTTCATTTATGTGAAGTTCTTACCTCAATCATTCAACTTATTTTACTTTCCTCTACTTCTACTCCTTACCAGTTTGTCTATCTTAGAGACAATCTCCTATCTACGCTGGAAGGTATTGAGATATTGAATCGAGTCAAGGTCAGTAAATTCATTTCCCTGGGGTTCTTGGGTTTTTAACATATATATGCTCACACTAGCTGTGGTTCTGTTACTTCCATTAATCGCAGGTTCTGGATTTGAGTTTTAATGATTTCAAAGGGCCTGGATTTGAACCACTTGAGAATTGCAAAATGCTGCAGGTTTCTTTCTCTCCCATTCTATCCTTGGTTCTTCCTTCATAAGTGCTATCTGATGAGCATTTTAAATCTTATATTACTTGGACAGCAACTTTATCTTGCTGGAAATCAGATAACTTCACTTGCTAGTCTGCCTCAACTTCCAAACTTAGAGGTGAGCATCAGAAATGGAAAAATAATTGCTATCAAGTTTTCATACTTATATATCTTCTTGTGGATTACCCCTTACCCCTTACTTTTTCCAACTGTTACCTTTCTTGTTCCCATGCTAGTTTCTCTCGGTAGCTCAAAATAAATTAAAATCACTTGCAATGGCAAGCCAGCCCCGGCTTCAGGTACATTTTTTGTTTCAGAATTGAGGTTGTTTACAGTAAATTGTTACAAGTATAGTTTTTTAGACATCTCATAAATATTTTTTTCTCAGGTACTAGCAGCAAGTAAGAACAAGATAACAACTCTGAAGGACTTTCCATATCTACCAGTTCTTGAGGTTTCAATCTTTATGTTCCCAAACATATATTTCACACAATACATATATACAAATACGTAGTTTGTAATATCACTTTGTGTGTTTTCCTTTTACAGCATCTGCGGGTTGAGGAAAATCCATTGCTGAAAATTTCTCATTTGGAAGCGGCATCCATACTACTCGTAGGTCCTACCTTGAAGAAATTCAATGACAGAGGTACTCTTTTGTAGAACTCGTAGAACGAAGTGCTGTAGTTTGCTTAAGGCTGATTATTTTATGAGAAAGATGACTGACTAGCATGTATAAGTTTTCACTCATCATATGAACTTCCAAGTAATTATTTAGCTGATGGTGAAATCTAAGCAATAGCATGTCAGAAGAGGTAGAAGATTTTGCGATGTTAGATCAATGGAAAGAAACACAAATGATATATCTTTATCAATTGTTTTTGTTAATCTGGATGGAAATTACTTCTGAACGGTTGCAAGAAATTGTGGGAATAATACCTGTTCCTTTTTTTAATATTTTTATTAACAACTTACATACTGGACAATAATAACAGCATTGATTATATATAAAAGTGTGTCTAGGAATGAAGTGTTTTACTGATACATTAGAAAGTATTCAGAAGTTGTTTCTTGGGATGTACCTTGGCTTTTAGCTAGGTCACTGTGGTCCATGATAACCTTAAATTTTTTCTTTAGATCTCTCTCGTGAGGAAGTGGCAATTGCAAAGCGTTATCCTCCACAAACAGCCCTCTGCCTCAGAGAAGGTTGGGAGTTCTGCAAGTCTGATCTTGCAGCAGGTATGAAATCACTTCTCAGAGTTGTATAATCATTCATTGTTGCTTGATGGTAGTGCAATCTTCATATGAAAACTAAAACCTTTCCCTCCTTGATTTTTGTTTGTTACCAATGGTCACACTTGGAAGGTTGACTGGTTAATCAAATTAGCATTTTCATCTCTTCCATACTAATGTTCTCAAGGTTTTCTGATATAAGGTGTTTGTTTCTATTTACGTAATTGCTAGTTGAGCTTTTATGTGAAAAAGGAAAATGCCATTGATTCAACTCCTAAGTTCCATATTTGCATCTAATAACTTTTAAATATTCACATTCATGCAACTTCTTGTG